TTATTCCTTATATCTTATTCCTCAAGATTCAACTCAGCTGTCATCTATCCTGTGAAGCCCTCTAAAGCACAGCTTGTGCTATGTGACCTCCTCTCCTGATTCCAACAGATGTCAGCCACTCTAGACTAGCACATCTCAGTCCATAGTACACAAACTGGTATGCAGCAAATTAACCATTATCCCATCATTCTTGAATGCACATGGAAAGCTTCCTAAGCTTCTATGACCCCCTTTTTGGTCTTAAACCACATTTTCCACTAAAAATTATTCTTGACCTAATTTTGTTGTGAACCCTGCTACTCATTTTCAAGCCCTACCCTTGTGATAATAATATCTATGTTTTTTCTCACCAGCAAACCCTGAACAATTTCTTTATAGAACTTTCTGACATCCTTAAGACTCAAACTTAAACAGAGCACTAGACTGAATAAGAGACAGGAGAGGGATTCTAGTCCTTAATAGTCTACTAACTTACTTGTAAGGCCTGAAAAAATAACTATCTTTTTTATCCAGTCTGAATATTTCATTGTAAAATTAAGAAGATACCCTGGATGTCTCGGTTCTCTTTCAAACCAAGAAAAAAAATGCCAAAATGATTTTTAAGAGTAGTGTCCTATCTAGGAATAATTGCTTAATAAAGAATTGATTCACTTATTCATTCTATGAATATCCATTAAGTGCCTACCTCATGCCAAGCATTTTTTAAGATACAGGAATACAGCAATAAGCAATATTAAAATGCTATCTATGTAGCTCACATTCTGATAGAAGAAGAGAAAACAGATGACATATCTATGGATATGAATGTATGTTTGTGTGTGTGTATATATATATATCTGTTTACATCTATACTTATCTATCAAAGGTAATGCTATGGAAAGAAAACAAATTAAAATCATATTAATTTTGAGAGGTATTTTTGTTGGAATAAAGGCAGAAAGATAAATGCCTCAATGATAAAGAGTATATTTAGTGATGAAAGAATAGCTACTCACTTATAAAGCAACCATTGAAAAAGAGAGAAATAGAGGGTACCAGATAGAGGAGATAGCAAGTTCAAAGGACTTGTGGTGGGAATGTATCTGATTTGTTCAAACAAGGGAAAGAGGTTAAATGATGCAAGAATATTATAGAGATAGAGAGCAGGTAGGAAAGCTGGTGAAGAGTTGGGCTAAAGGACACAGGTCATAAGGATTCATAGGCCATAGGAAGTCCTTGGTTTTGAGTAAGGAGAAACTGTTGGAGCAATTAAAAGTAGTGATAAGCTCTGAATCAACATTTTGGAATGATTGTGGAAGCTGCTGGATTGAGAACAGATCAGAGATGGTCATCGAAACAGGTGGATTATAAAAAAGTCCTTCCAATAATATAATATAAAACTGCAGATCACTGGACTTGGGCAGAAATGGTGGAGATGGTAAGAACTGTTGGATTCCATTTACGTTTTAGAGATGAAATTGAGGAAACTTTCCCATAGATTATGTATGTTCAGTGAGACAAAGAGGCCTTGAAGGCTACAGTGCCTGTGGCTACTGCAAATGGGAGAAAAGAGTGGGCCCTAAGTGAAACAGGAAAGACTACCTGAGCAGCAGGGAAAACAGGTTTTGGATAACAGAAATCAGAAGGTTTTGTTTTTGTTTTTTTCACAAGATTCATTTGCAATGTCTCTTAAAGCATCCAAATGGCAATTGGGTACAAGATTGGAACTGGGGAGCAAATTAGGGTTGAAGAAAGACACTTTCAAATCTTTGAGATAAGAGATGATGGTGTTACAGATAGGAGAATGGACATGATCACCCAGGCAGTGAGTGGACACAGAGAAGAGGTAACCAAAATACTGAGTCTTGGGACACTAAGGGTCAGAGATAAAGTCAATGAAGAGAAACCAGCTGCAGAGGTTGAGAAGTCATCAGTGAAGTAGGAACATAAACAAGCAATATCAAGCCCCAGAAGTGTGAAGTGCAGAGACTTTCAAGAAAAAGTCCAGGACAGACTGTTGAATGCAACTGAGAAGTAAATGTGGTAGCACTCAAGTGAAT